GTGTGTGTGTGTGTATGTGTGTGTGTGAATGACACGTGCCCGTATCGAAGGCTTCAATAGGATGATGTTCCGAACGTTCCCCCTACGTAGCAACATGGTGGTTTTCAGATGGTGTTACGGCCCAACCTTACTAACCTGAGACGAAGAATTCCTGAACCAAGCAACAACGTTACTGTGACGAATAGCCTTGCCTCCCATGCAGCCAGGACCTGATGCAGGGATGGAGGTTGCAGATCTTCATCTCACTTGCAGGGTTTCTTCTCGTGGCAAAATCCATCATCTGTTAGGAATAAGTAGCAGGTTCGTCACTTTGGCTTGTCACCCTCATTGATAAGATCATTGTCACCCCAAAACGCATCAAGTTTTTTAGTTCAGCAGAATGTGTCCTATGATTCCTCATTGAATTTACACGTGCCTAGGCTCTAAGAAAGCCTCTAAAAGATCACGTGAGGGGCCATGCTTGATCATGCTATTATTGATTGACACAAGGTGCACCAGAAAACAAGCCCTATTTGGTGAACCCTTCTTGGTCGTTGGAATCAACCTCCACACGGAAGCGACTCCGGGAGTGGTGCAAGCTTCCACGATGCGAGGGTCTCTGAAAAAAACCCAGCGATTCAGTGTTCGGTTCAGCGGATTCAGTTGATCACTATATGAGCGACGTGCAAAACCTCTTATCATCGGAGGTTTTGGCAGTTGCTCATATAATACCAATTGAAAATATGATTTAATTCATTAAGTCTCTTTTTTTACGCGTATTTACAAAACTTGACCAAGATCGAGGTTCTCATCCAAGAACAAACCATTGGCGCCTGCGGTACTGCCCATAGCAGGCAAACCTGGCAAGAATGTTCATTGGTGAGCTGACTTGACTTGACTTCGATGTCTTCATGCTGACTTGCTGAAATATCTCCGGATCCGAATCCCTTTGTATAGGCTAATAATTATTCGGTCAACCCCCTTTGATCCCTTACATGAACAGGATCTTCTGGTCTGGTCTACCTCAAACAAACTGAGATGATTTAGATTGATTTAGGGGACAGTCTCCAGCCCGAAAGGCAGTTGTTCAAGCAAAACCGACAAACATCTTCAAAACCCACAGGTTTGACCAGGTCCTCGAGTTTGGGCCCACAACCACATGTCCAAAGGACGCAAGGACGCTCAGGTGCTGCCCCATTGGGGGTGATGCCGTCCCGTTCCGAAGCAAAGCGGACATCTCACGATGGTTCCGCACTGCGGAGCCCAAAGCATGCCGGGCCAAACCACACCCTCCAAGTGATGGATCCATCCTTAGGGTTTTGGAGAACTTGTCCATGGCCAAGGGCATCAAAGGTGACGAAAATTACAAAGTTTAACTGCTCCAAGAAGGCACAGGGTTTCCATGGATGCCCATGGAATCGAAGAAGATCTTTCTTGTTCCATTTATGCAAAAGGGAACTTGTTCTTACTGTAATATTTTCAGAACAGCATTGCTTCACTCGCGGAACATTCTGAAGCTCATTTCCCCTCCATCTGAAGCTCACTCACTTTTGCCCGTACTGGGAGTCCCAGACTCAGCACCTGCCGGCGGTGATCAAACTTCGCGGTCGGTCGGTCGTTCGGTCGATGTCGGTCGATGTCGGCTTGGGACCTCCGTCAAGTAATCCACGGGGAACAGCACATACAAAACCATGGGTTTGTATGGTCATTTCGTGGGATTAAAAGGAGTAGTTTCGTGAGGAGTAGTTTCGTGAGGCCAGTTTATGGGGGGTCTCCCCAACCAATGGATTTGCGGTCCGTTTTGGATTTTCCCTATTCTAAGACATACCCACATGGGCCCGTTCGGGTGTTCTGGGCGGAGCTTTGGAGCTGTATCGTTGGGGGGGGCCACGGCTGAAAGAAGGGACATGTTGGATGTTGAGCACCTGTTGGTCTTCTCATGCCAAAAAGGAACGGGCACTGTCGGTGACGGCATCCTTCGATTCTGTGCAGTTGATGCGCGTCATGTTTCAACGTTGGTGGCCTCATACCGTGTGACGAATAAGTCTCACGCAAGGTCGAGAATCCGTCAGCTCTAGTGTTTACGTGTTATTCTGTCTTTTAGTACACTAAAGCAGCGATCTACTTGGGAGCTTACACTAAGTACTATATACGTGGGATCTACTTGGGAGCTTACACTGTTTTTCTGTTCTTACACTGAGTACTTTTGCTTACAGCTTCCATGGCTGCGATCTACTTGGGAGCTTTCCCTCAGTCATGCCATCCATGTAAGAGTCCATGTAAGGCTCACGCCCTTTTTTCCCCGACGCGATCGGCGTTGACGTTGCTTAATCGAGCTGGATCTCGGAGAAGCTTGCACCTGGAAGCAGATTGGTCATGGAGCCAAGAGAAAATCCACGAAAAAATAGTTTTAAAACAACATGAAGCAATGAAACATGCTGTGTCTCAGTTCCTCTTCCAAGTGGCGCTCCAAACAACTTGAAGTCTGGAAAGAGTTGCTTCCAAAACCTTTTAACCGGGGACCACGTCATTCGGGTTCACCTCAATGACCTCCTGGCCTGACAGAATTGCTTTGGCCTTGGCGATGGACTCGATCTCCTGCGGTGCGGTGCCCCTCCATGCACCTCCGTGTCCCAAACATGGGGTCACTCGGTTGGATGCCATCGCTAGTAGGGTGGAGGCCATTGCTAGTAGGTTCCTTTCTGAGGACAGGGTTGTTGTAAAAGAACTTGAAGATGAATGGCCACAGTTTGTCATCTTAACCTACGGACATTTGCAACATGTCTGGTTTGCTTTCTTGCCAGACTATTTTCAGGAGCTTCTTCCTGTAATCAAGAGTAGAAAACTCATCTGTTTTCTTGAAATGCACCCCAATCATGCAACCTTCCATGGTTGACCCACAAAACGGTCCAATTGCGGCAAATAACATCAAATATCAAATATATTCCAGAAAGAGCAATCAACTACAAAAAATCATCCACAATCAAGGCCTCTAAAATGACAGTGGTTCGTTGATCCTAGCCTTTCACCATCTTTCGCCGATTCCGCAGGTTCCCGGTAGGTCCTCCTTCCGGGCGGATTGCCGACCATCAAAGTTATTCATGAGCCAGTCGCAGCTTTCCTCGGGAGCCAAAACCAAACACCCCCGCAAGCTGGTCGGATATCAAATGGTGCCAGCTGTAAACCATGTTGGAGTGGAACGGAGATGTGTCAATCAACTTCACCTCCATCCTGTTTGCTTGACCGTGGAGATCGGTTGATGGTGTGATTCTTGTGCATCTTTTTCTCGTCCTCATCAATGCTCCCAAATAAACGAATAAACGTAATTGAGCGTGAGTCGTTATTCTAGCACAGTTGGTCAACAACTATGCATGGTGTCATTCGATGTGCAACAGCTTACACGGTGTAATTTCATATCTTTCATGCTTGGTAGGGACCAATAGTCAAACCAGCTGCAAAGAGCAGACTCAGAGCTTTTAAGTGATTCACTTCTCCAGGATTTTGAAGGAAATGCCAAAAGAAACATCTGTGCACCATCTCCAAAGCCTCAGGAAGCCATGCTCTTCACCAGCTGTTGGAGCCAACCCACCTTCGATCAGCTAAAAATCTAGGAACCAAATCATTAGCGCGAGCTATCCTGCGTCCATACTAGTAGCTACCTAGCTACTACTAGCTACCTCTAGCGACCTCCACGGCCTACCCCCCCCCACGCAATCGACCTCGACTCGATCGTTGGGCCAAAGGCTCATGAAGGTCCGCTTTGGTGGAAGCCAAACCTTCAAGTTCGGTTTCCACACCCTCCCGGCTCTGCCTCAGAAGGCTGGGAGAAAGCTTGGACGCACCGCGTGTTCACCGCGTAGGCTGGGCGTTTGTTGGACGAACCGAAAGGCTGTTAGAGCGAGGCTGCCTCAAGGCTCGTCAGGGTAGGAAATGATAGGAACATCCGAAAGGAATGGAGCTGCTCGAGGGATGCGAAGTGGGAAGGAGTGCGGACAGCTGTAGCTTGATTCTTTGGATGACCTTTTTTGGAGCTTCCAGTACATCTTCTATCAGGACAAAACGTGGAGAAACGCGCTATATTGTAATATAATGCTTTGAAAAAAGAAACACCGTTCGCCATGAGAAAACACGGCCATATGGTCATGGTCCTGTCTGAGGTCTCCATGAGCCGAGGGGCTTGGTCTGCACATGGCTCTTCTCGCTGCCAGCCTGCGGTTCTACGGGTGTCGGTCGACTGAAGGGACACACGGTCGACAAGGTGAAAGGCTAACACGGCACAGAACCTGGCGCTCGTCTTTTTGTTGTCTTAAGGTCCTACAGGGGTACTTCAGGGGGGGAGGCACTCCAAACATCTCCAAACACTGTACACAGGACTGGTGTTTTTGGTTTGTGGATGTTCTTGGACTTTGTGCTTTAGTTCCGGGTTCTCCAGCCTTCATGAAGGACTTATCAGCCAAAGCTTCCTCCTTGGATTCCACTGACTCTTGCGTGTCCGCAGCGAACTTCTCGTAGGCCTCACATCATCCAGGACTCCATGGACAGAAACAACGTCTTTAGGCACTCCGTCGGTTGTATCTCTGAATCAAAAGCCCCCCACCACCAAAACCACCGATCGGCCTCTTTCTCCGCAGCCAAAAACGCCCAAAAACAAAAACAATATACCCAATAAACAAACACAGCCCGACGACACACCCCGCCTTCTGCGCACTTTGGTCTGCTCGAGTGGCCTCCAGTTGTAGCATGATTCGGTGCGATTCTTCTAGTAGCGTCCTTGCTCCTACTAGTAGGGCCAGGAGCCCCTAGCAGCTCCTTGTTCCTAGTAGCGATGCCAGGAGCCCCTAGTAACGTCCTTGCTCCTACTTTGGGACCATTTAGGTTGCAGTGTTGAACCCACCCAGGATGCTACCCAAATGACCATCAAATACCCCTCTGTCACAGAATCATTGTGGTGGACCATGGCTCCTCTACAAACCGGTCATGTTCAGCTTGGATGATCGTCATTGATCGTCTGCGGGTACTCTGCTTAAGCCCACGGCCCCTGATCGATGGACGTCTCTGTCCACTTCCATGTTTGTTGGATACGGAGCATAGTGTCCCAAACAAAGATAGAAAGACACACCGTACATCTCCTCTAAATTAATGGGGATATACCGTGTTATAATACATACAGCATATGTATACAACATATACAGCATGTGTCAATATACAGTATACAGTATGTTGAGAAGGCGCTTGGGACCGTATTCTTTGGGGACCTCACAACATCGAACCGATCTGATCGACTGAACCGACCTCTGATTCCATCGCTTCAGCATCAGAGACCAGCTGCTGCAAGAGACTCATGACCTGAGGCGTTGGCCCTGGGCCGGGGACCCTGGAGGCCCTCCACCTTCACAAAGCGATGTTGGAACTCAGGCCATGCTTGGACACAAGAGTAAAAAACAACAACGGCATTCTTCTTCAAGGCCCTCTTCAGTGAAAACATGTGAAGACCCTTGAGGAGAAATTTTGGTCGCCTTTGTGTCCCCCCGAGTGACTCAAGTGTCGCACGTGGCCCAGATCACGATGCCAAGAGGCCCCAAAGCTCTGGCCATTGCTCTTGTAGTCCTTAAAGCCCTCCTTGGTCACCAGCACCAAACACCACACCGCAAGCGAGTCGGGCTGAAACCAAACTCTCACAGAAAGATCTGTTATGAGATTTTAGAATCACACATCACCAAGTTGCGAGAAATCAAAAAACACAGAGAGTGGTTCAATGTGGCAAAAAAGAATGCATCCTCCTGCCCTTTTTACTTACAGTATCCCGAAATACCCTGACACCACTGAGTCAATGAAAATCGGGAGGATTTAGGGCTCGGAGCACCGATTCACAACAAAAGCCCCGTGAGAACAACACTGGTTTCGGATAATTCTACTGCTACATCTCTGGAGTTGGCTTCGATCTTGTGGACATTATGGACCATGGATATGATGGATATGAAAGTGACATGAAGTGTGATAGTATATCGATCTTCGTGTAGTCAATGCGCAAATGAGTCTGAGTCTGAGCTGTTCTATCTGCAACAAGTGACAATGAAGAAAATATAGGTAAAGGTGCGTGGCATGGCAAAGAGTTCTTCTACCATGCAAAATAGTTCTTCTACTGGCTCATAAGCCCAAAGACATGTCAGCCACAACAAGTCCTTCAGAACAGCGAGGATGTCTGATGGATTGCAGTCATCAACACGAGCCAAGCCGAGCATCTGGAGTCTTTGGGTCAGCCCGGTGCAGCTGAATCATAGAACCTCGGTCGCAACCAAAACAGAAAACCTGAGTTGTCGTTGTCAGAAACCTCCTGGATGGTCACATGAGGAAGTTCAGTTTCTCTCCAGGCATCGGCAGAATGTTTTGCAGTCACCATGAAAGAGCAAGGAGTCTTGGAGCAAAATCTGCTCCTTGAGGGTTCAAGTCACCCACCGGAAGAACAAGGAGTCTCTTCGACCTCGAACTGCTGCCAGATTCATCCTGGATCAAACACATGCGAAACCACCTGGTTGGCTCTATGGATCTCCTGTCAAGACAGACCAATTAAGATGTTTGGCTTCTAGAATTCACTTGTTTTTTGGCGTTGGGTTGGGTGCCTTTGGTCTGTTTGTTTCCTTTCTTAGAAAGGCCCCACGCACTGTGTGGCACACGCGGACCCTGAGTGTGTGTGTGGCCAAATGTGAGTGCACAAGAAAGATAAGAAAGTGAAGTCCGTCCCAAAGTGCTCAAGAAACCTGCTGTATAAACAATAAGCTACTAGGAACAAGTGCATCGCTACTAGTAACAAGTGCCTTACTAGTAGTAACAAGAAGCAATTATATAGAATTAAATGAAAATTAAATTAACTAATAGCTTTACTACTAGTAAGGCACTTGTTACTAGTAGCGATGCACTTGTTTCCAATATAGTCCGTCCCAAAGTGCTCAAGAAACCTGCTGGATTCTTCATGTAGAATTCTTTCAGCGCGGTCAAGGCATCCTTCAGAAGCCGCTGCGTCTCACGCTGCTCCGTCACCAAAGTCTGGAACTCCTGGAAGCGCCACTCAGACTCAGAAGACGAGAAGCGTCCTAAAACGTCGAAACAAAACACCCCGGCCTTGTTCTCAGCCTCACGGTTTTGGCTGGCCTTCTCCATTTGCTTCTTCAAATCAGCAATAGAAGCAGTCAACAAATCCATCTCCTGATGACATCTGCGTCAGATGCAACTCGGGGCACAATCATCTTGGATGGACCATATTAAGATATGACTTGCGGGCTATTACAGTAGGTTGAAGCAGGCTAATTTCTGAGCCACGCTGATTTCCAGGTGCTGTACAGGGGCTTGGGAATTGGGATACTGCGATACTGCACAGAGGTACATACCGTGTGACTGCCATCAAACCCCTCACGTTCGCCACATTTTGCCGTACTCTTTAGGCATTTGTGCGAGCGACATGGATAAGAATACGGCTGCAAAAAGAATACCCTGGAACCCGCGGGTTGACTCGTCATATTTTGGGTCGAGGGCCATAGCCATATAGAAATGCCATAGCCGCATAGCCGAATCTTATCTTGGAGCGTGGCTCCCCGGAGAATCCTCGAAGCATATGACCTTGTCCCACTGCGCAGATCAGCTTCCCACGGAGCCTCCACTCCGCTCCCTGTCCATAGGATATCGTATAATGACATCGCCGTTTCCATCGTCTGGCCTCTCCAGTCGTCTGAATTTCCATGGTGATGGTGCCCTCTTTGGCCACCAGCGATTTCTTCACACCTCACCAAAGGAAATGCGCAGACTAGGCACTGCTGAGCAACGGGAAAGACTCAGACTGAGAAGGGCTTCCAAGCTGAAGTGCTGTTTCCTTAATGGCCATTCAAGGTTGACCTAGATTCGGAACCAGGATGGTCACACCTCTTGTCTTCGAATGAAGGGAGGTGATTTATCGACAGTCAACATGAGTCTACTTTATATAATTAGTAAATTATAAAACACAAAAGGAAATGACAAACACAAAAACAAAGCGGCGAAAGGTGCAAAATTCTTCACTGGCTGAGGAATCTGCGGGCAAATGTGCTGGATCTTTCACTCTTTCTGGCCCAAAGACAAGCTAAATGAAGATTAATATACAAGAAAGCTCTCACTCAGATTGAACCCTTGGGCTGAACCCTTGGGAAAAGACAAGGAAAAGACTCCTTGCAATGATGGAGGAGCATCTTCCGGAGCTACCGACGAGACGATTCTTTTAGGAGTCGCTCGACGAGAGCATTCAGAGCGAGGGAGTTCGGCTTCGGAGTTCGGAGTGCTAGTAACAAGGTTCGCTAGTAGAAACAAGTGCCACGCTAGTAGTAACAAGTGCCTTACTAGTAGTAACAATGTTCGCTATTAGGAACAAGTGCATCGCTTCTAGTAACAAGTGCCTTAGTGTGGCTTAGACCAGGCAAGGCAAGCTCGAGGGAGTCAGAGCCCAAATTTCACTACCTGCCCTGGGTAGCACATGGCTATCATAATATAGCACCAAAACAAATTCCAAGAATATCAGGCCTTCCTTTTAGCCTTCTTCTAGGAGCTACTAGTAACAAGAAGCTATTAGGGGCTCCTGGCCATACTACTAGGAGCAAGGACGCTACTAGGGGCTCCTGCCCGTACTACTAGGAGCAAGAAGCTATTAGGAACAAGAAGCTACGAACGGGGTTTCTTCTACATTCCAAGCACAAGTCGTGCACCTCCTGGCCTGCCCTGCTTAAGCTGAAGGATTCGTTCGATGGGTCAGGTGCCGGAAGCTGTGCTTCTGCAGTTGATGTGCAGCCTACCGCTTTGGCTAGAAGCCCGGCACGCATGGCGCCTCTCTTTGAGCAATCTTCCAAGATTCACGTTCAGAGCTTCCCGAATGAAAGAAGTGAACATCCAAGACTATCAAGACTTCATCTCTTGAATTTGCAGAAGGGTTGAGAATCAGGAAACGCATTCAAGGTATGCACGAGGCTTTGCCATGCCAGACTCTTCCGCGCGTATGAACGAGGATATGGGCATATACCGCTTTTTGATCCCGATGGATTCTCAATCAGATCGAAAACAGCGTATGTCATGAGTACCTCTCATAAGATCGTCTCGGGCCATGCTACCCATCCGTATCAGCTGTATGTGGCCACCATGGCCGTGAAAAGGACGGAAGGGTGGAAAGCGCCGTGTGACCCCAAAAGGGACCATCTGCTGCGACCTGTGAATCCCAGTGAATTCCGCCCTCACCTGTGCATGCCTTGGGATTCACATGGCACGCATTGTCTGGGCTTCACGCTATGCCTGACGTTCTGGGCCTTCGTTCCGTTCGACCCGGCACCGTTCGAAGCAAACACCCAACGCCGCCGGGACCGTGTGGAGGATGCGATCCCATCCGCGCCACCCAAAGGGAGACCAAGTCGCTGGTCTTCTCCTCCGTCTCCACCTGGTTCTTCTGGAAGGAGTCCACCTGGTTCGGTTCTTCCGCCGAGTCAAAATGACCGTTTTGGCTCGGTACACACGTCGCTCGGGACACCGTGGCACATGAATAATGGCATTGTCTTACACATGAATATGAATAATGTGTATAAGACCATGTGTAAGACTATGCCATTATAGATTAAATATGAATAGTGTGCATAGAATACTGTGCATATGAATAATCTAGTATTAATAGATCATCTATATAATCGATACTTTTCTGAATCCAACAGAGTGGAGTTTTGATGAGTTTTGGTTGGACCTCTCTCATCCACACAACCACATATAGCGACAAATCCAAGCACAGTTGGTTGAAATGGCAAGGAGTAGGTGGTTGGTATGGTCTGGGCGTACCATCCCAATCTGATATCACAAGGTCTTCCCTGAGTCTCCCTGCGCAGAAGTCTCTCTGCTTCACCTCATCCTGCTGCTCCTGGGGCCAAAACAAGGAATTTGAAAGGACAAAAGAACCAGCGAAGCATCGAAGCTCAAACTTTCAGCTTGAAGATCAAGAATTCGCAAGAATTCATGGTCAGTCACTACGTACGTCCCCGCATGGTCTGCCTGGATCCCTCGTGGTAGGGGACTCGTGAGACTCATGGTTCGTTCCCGGCCTTCTTCAAGGCAGTGGCCATCTCATCAATGGCCTTCTTCACCTGTGAAGAATCAGCCACTGTCAAGGCTTGGAAAGTTGCCAGCACAAATCTACCCTTGGATCTTTAAAGCCATGCAGCCCACGCCTTCTCGAACTTATCAATCTTCATCTGCAGCAACAGCCCAGCCAGGCGCGTGTCCTTCTGGGCGGCCTTGGCCAAAACCTCTGCAGCTTTCTCGCGGCGTTGCAGGTCCGTCTGCTGCGACTCCTGCGAGGTCCGTGACAAAGAGGGAGACCACCGACGACCGGCACTATGTTTCTTTTTGAGCCCGGGGGGTAGGCTGCTAGAGGTAGCTAGTAGCTAGGGTAGCTAGTAGAAGAGGTAGCTACTAGCTACAAGTACGCTACTACCTAGGATGCAGGATAGCTCACGCTTGATAGCTCACGCTTCTTCAAGGAAGCTGCCCCGCCTGAGGGCGGGGGGGGGCTTCCGTGAAGAAGCGCTCGCACTAATGATTTAGTTCCTCGATTTTTAAGGGGAAACTCATTGAGTAGGCGCCTACTCAATTAAGCAAGGAGGTGGGCTACTAGCTAGATCTACCTAGGACCGCATTCTTCAGATGAAAGATATGAAAACATGTAGATGAGACAAGCTTCAGAAATCATGGGTTTGGGCTCCGGTTTTGGAAGACGCCTGCAAAAAGGACGCGCTGAAGGTCTTGGCAAAGTTGGCATTCGCATCATCAGCATCAAGAATCCTTGGCGAAGAACTTATCCCAGCCAGAACCAAGGTGGTTGAGACACGGAAAACATTGAACACCTGCACAGAAAACCACCCCAAAAAAACAAAACAACTCCTCCTGTCCCGAAGAGCTGCTACAGAACACAAAAAAAAACAGAATGTGAACCCCCACATGACTTGAGCTTTCTGTGTCAGCATTGCAAATTAAACAATCCAAAACCATATCATTTCGTACTGGTTGTAAATCGAAGCCCCCGCGAAGGTTCCGCCATGCCCGGTTGTGCTCAGGACGCTCCAATCCGCCGTGGCACTCGATAGCTTTGGCCACCGCTGCCTGCTCATCTGCGCGCGTCTTGGTGCGCTCGGAGTGCTGCGCTTCCATCTCTGCGCAGCGCGTCTTCACCTTCACAGCCGCGCGAAGAGGGGGTTTGATGTTGGCGTCAGTACCTTGTTGGGGGGTGAGATGGTTGAGCCACTGAATAGAAGCTTGACATGTGACACGATGCTCTTTTTGGGGTCTACATGCTTCACATATGTTTGTTTGCAATTTATATTTTATATATATATATATGTTATAATAGATATCACATTGACTACATTGTACTACATTGTAAGTCTGACACTTTTTCATGATGAGCACGTTTTCTGTAAAAAATCCTGCAAAAAAATCGGGCATGCGTCACTTTGCCATGTTTCCAAAGATTTCTTGCACCCCGCCTCTGCGGCAAACTCCAGGTCTTTGCCAGAAACAGCTGAGAGGTCCTGGGGCAGCCCCAAGCGGAAACAAACGGTGCAGTTGTAAAGATTGTTCCCCTCGGCTTCGTGCATGTGCGGCATGTCCAAATCGGGTATGTCCACAAACCCCTTTAAGGAAAGGAAGAAAACACCCACTGGCTCCCCAATGGTAGCCCACTTCAAGGAAGCTGGGTGGAAGTGCGCTCCCGCACCGCGGTTCAGCCACGCAAGGGCCAACAATTGACACATTTAGTGTGGTAGAAATGAATTAATGTATACATGAATGTGCTCGGACCCATTCCAAGTTCCACTTCCTGATCTCCCAAGATTTGGTCCTTGATCTCCTGCTTCTTGTGTGCCCTCTCCTCCTCGGCCGCGGCCTTCTCTTCCTTCTTGCTCTCCACTTGCTTGATTCCAGCCTCTACAAGCAAAGAAGTCCAAAGAGCGATTTCGGAAAATGGTCTTGGCGATCTTAGCATCTCTTCCTGGACGGTTGAAGGATCTCAATCTTTGGTCGGTGTAGGTCTCAGCTCCCACGAAAAAGGAGGTGGGGTCACAAATGATCAAAAACAAAACATCCATCAATAATCATCAATTTATTGCTATGCAAAACCGTTTTTACAACTATCCCCCATTGGTCTGTTCTGGCTACATCGAAATCTTTTGCATCAGGATGCATCGGGAAAAATAGAAACACTGGTGGCGCCCACTCGTGTGATCGGCCTCAATCTCGTCCTTCTTGGCCGCGGAGACGCCCTGCCCGGGACTCCGACGGAGCATGAAAAAAAAACAGACAACAAATGGAAAAGAGAGGATTCCCTCTTCATTGTTTCAAAAAGGGTGGAGGAATGGGATTCCTCTCCTGCATCTATACAATTCATGAGAATTCCAAAACTGCTTTGGTGGGTCTCCCATGGTCTCCCTACCTAGCATCCACAATGGTGTTCCAGAATGATAGGTTCTTCAATGTTTCTTGATGGAGCCTTGACGCAAGTCAGTGAGCTGTATCAATGTGCGCTAGCCAGCCAGCTGGCAGCTAGATGCCAGGTGTGCTGGTATTGAATCGCTAACTAGATTCAATGCAGCCCGAGTCTCGGCCTTCCAACGAACACAGGTTCAGCTGACCCCGCGACCGTGCAGCCGTTTCCACTCAAATTCATTGAAACACATTGCCCGAATGAACGAATCACTGAACGGATTCCTGTATCCTACGTACCTTCTTGTTGCTGTAGCTATCCTGATCACCATGAAAAGCTCCCGGTCACTCTTGTTGGCGAATCACTGGCTGGTGCACCTCATATTGCTCCTTGTGAGTCGCCTCCTGTGTTTCCACCGCTTTCAGCTCTTCACCTCAATGAGATGAAAAATGTTCATCAAAACAGTTTGTCCTGCTCAGCTTTCATGATCATCTCAGGGAGTCATCATTGCCCGTCTTGTTTGCGATCCAAATGAAATGGCCTGGGCCTTTCCCTGAAACGCCTCTCAAACTCTTGCAATCTAAGTCCTGGATGCAGTTTCAACACTTGTCAACTTGATGTCCCTTCTCTTTCCAGCTACTTCCCCCCACCCAACCATACCGACAGGGTCGAAGGAAACCGACCCTTTCCTCCTCTCCGAAACCGCTCCCGCTCCCTCTCTCCGCTCCCCAGCGGCTGAAGTCATCCGACAAGGCAGAGAGGATCCCCACCACGGCGTCGCCGTCGCCCTGCTCCTGGAGGAAGGCCTGATCAGCGGCACGGAGCGGAGAGGGCGCGCTGCACTCGCGGCCTAAAATGGGCCACATGGAACTGGAAGCACGAAAACGGGGGGGGTGTCACTGTGGGGTGGGAACAAGATAAAGATTGAACGTGTTGTTCAAGTGGCAGGTGGGAAAACTGGAAAAACCCTTACTGCCTCAGTGAACTCTGCCTCAGGGCCCCCTTAAGACTCATAGTAATTGCATTAAAACATATATGTCATACATTACCTAATTTATCTAATATCTTTAAAATGATGATCTGGCATTCGTCCATGATTGGACACTGATAGCAGCTTGGGCTAATCAAAGCGACAATTAACCATGTGGGCTGCTAGAAGAAAGAACCACCAATCCAAGAATGCAGAAGACCTCACCCGAAGAGATGTTCTATCGCCGTCTTTTCCTTTGCTTACTTCAGCAGTTGCTCTATGTTGCGGACCATTGTTGCATTCAAAAAGGATCTGAAATCATCACAGCAAATGCGGTTGCGCAAGTCGCGCAGCCCAAATGGTCTCATGGTGTTTTTGCCTGAATGGTCTCACGGTCTGCTGAAGACATCTTCTCGAAGTTCTTGACAACAACTTGTTGCAGCACCTCACGTGACTTGACCCAAGGCGTTCTAGACAGTGTGTTAGGACCAGAAAAGGAAGCCTCACATTCACATATAAAATACAATATGTAACGTGTTCTTCTTTCCAAGGGCTCTTTGGAAAGGTCTCCCTACAGTACAGAACTTTTGGAACCTGGTGACACCTGGTGAGGTGAGAAAAAGGGACAACGACTCCACCACTCGCTCGACAGCACAGGACCGCAGCCTCCGAAACCGTCAACGTTGGGTGCGGGGCTGCTTCCTATGGGAATGAGCTTTGGCAGGTCAGATCGTCCTCGTCCGCAGGTCCCAAAACTCCGTCGCCCCTGTCGCCGTGGCACGGGCTTGACGGCTTGAACTTGTGGAAGTTGCAGAAAGCTACCCGGTGCTGCTCCTAGGTTGCGGTACAGCGTGAGCTTCGCTCTTCGCTTCACTCTTCGCTCAATACACCAATGGTGCACAAACATCAGCGTCAAGGAATCCAGCAAGACTCGAGTCTGGCTCTAATGGCTACGTTGGTGTGTGACAGTGCAATTAAGGGAGACTCTTGCTATCTCTTGCTGTTTTGTCATCTCAGAATTCTGGCGCAGGTACCCAGTCTCTTTACAAGCACCTGTAACTGACTGACAGTCTCAGAATTCAGGTTCCGGAGATGACTCTCGTCCCTAACCAACACATTAAATCGAGCCCCACGGGACGATCATCGCCGGATGCACAGCATGGCTCCCAAAAGAACGCCAGGTCTGGCAGCGCAAGGTCTTCGAACCCCCTATGACATCCTATGTGTTCAACTGCGGTGCAGCCGTTTTTTCGGGTCACCCATTTCGACCGTCCAACCCAGTCGATCCCGGGGAATGGTTAAAAAAAGAACGTACTTCCGGCCGTCCGAAAGAGCCATATGCATGAGCTGTGAAAGAGGGCCCATCGGTTGAAGTTTATATTGTGTCTATTATGTTATATATCATAGGATCTGCAGTCACGAAATACCAGACCAGTCCAAGATTCCTGAAGACCATCTATCAGTCTGCCAATACCACACCACACGTCGTTGTGACCCGATGGAGTCCCCGCCATCACGGCATCCTAGTAGCGATGCCCTTTGTTCCTAGTAGCGTCCTTGCTCCTAGTAGTACAGCCAGGAGACCCTATTTGCGTCCTTGCTCCTACTAGCGATGCCAGGAGCCCCTAGTAGCTACTTGCTCCTAGTAGTACGGCCAGGAGCCCCTAGTAGCGTCCTTGCTCCTAGTAGCGATGCCAGGAGCCCCTAGAAGCTACTTGCTCCTAGTAGCGATGCCAGGAGCCCCTAGTAGCTTTAGCCCTCCATGAGCTGCTGTCAAGATGCCCTTCATGGAATAGAGCGCGTTGCCCACCGCCTGAATGTTGCCTCCCAGCGTCTGCTTGTCGTCGGTGTACTCCTCAAGGAAAGCTGCAACGGTCAAAGAAAAGTGGCGAGCGATGGCTGAAGAGTTGTGATCCCCAACCAGCTGGTTTTGGTCGTTCCTTTTCCTATATAGTTCCTTGGAAGTCGGGTGTCTCCGTCTTCATACCCACATCTATTCGATGCAACGCGATTTTGACTACAAGTAGGGTAGGGTTTTCTGGGCAGTCACACGGGCAAAAGAATGACATTATGAATTATGGCTATCAATGCCTAACTGTAACTCAACGAAATCAAACTCCTTTTGGTATGGCTTGAGATTCGCTGAGATGGCCAGGTTTTGCAGGGGTTCTGGCACACGCTAGTCGCTCGGCATCATCGCCACGGCGAGTCTGAGATGGGAAATACAGACAAATTGTGTTAGAGATCCTGGGAGGACATACCCAACGATTTTTCGTCGAAAGTTCTTCGAGGTCAAATTTGTGGTCTGGCACCCTCTATCCCAGTTCATATTACCATGACTTCCACACAATTAAGTCTTCATACCTGGACCATACTGTCTGGGTGTCCTGGCTGGACTACCCAGCCCACAAATAAAAGAATCCAGGATCTCCAGACAGGACACCCAGGTCATGTATGATTCAGATAGTCTTCGTGTTCATTCAGTTCGATGCAAAGCCTCCTGAGGTCTAGAGCAAATTAGCAAATTGGCCGCTTTCCCACAACAAAGCCACATGGACCACCCCGCTGGGCTCCGCCCAATGGTCGGCATTGGGGGAAACCGGGGAAACCCAGGACCGTCTTCCAGCACCACCGGGTTTCGCGGTCCCACGGTCGTCAACGCTCCTTCGCTTGTTGTGCCCGCAAAGCGGTGGCCGTGTCCAAAGCTGCCTGGTTCTTGGCCACTTCGTCCTGGCACGGTGTTGCACCGGGCAGAGCGTGGCCTGGCTTTCATGCGGTGAGGGAAGGAAGCCAGTGACACTATGTGATGAGTGGTCTGAGAACCTGACGGCGGGTCTTCTGTCAAACAGTAGTTTGCTGCTTGTGAAAGGTGGTCTCGATGTTGAAATCAAGAGTGCTCCAGTTGATGTTGCTTCACACTAATTGTTGCGATCGATTTCTCCATACCGTTCACCGCGTCCAAGGACCAGGTAGAATTGCTAAGAAGCAGGAACTGGACATGCATGATGGTCTCGTTCCAGGGTTCCCCAATGAAATAACCTCTTCAGCGCGCAAAACATCCAAGAACCAGCTAAATCAAAGAACAAACACGGCAAACCGCTGTTTGGACGCTTGAACTTGCGCCCCAAATGGACTCCTGCGACTCTTCGTGCCCTGTGCTCGGCAAACCCACCTCACCCCCAAACAACATGAACAAACGCTTCACGGCTCAACCAAAAAAACTTAGCAAAAAAAGGGGGTGAAAAACCGTGAGAACATACCCAGGGCAAACCAAGGAAGCACCATGAAAACAAGAAAAGGAAAAGCAAAGATCTCACCAAACAGATGGTCCCACCTCCGCCGTCTCGATCTCACCCTTCAAGCGCAAGGAGGTGGCTTGCAGGAACTCCACCCGCTCCTGCGACAACCAGCACGAAGAAGTTTGGGAGGCATCCCGCGGCAGACTTACCCGGTGGAAGCAACACTGCCACCTTGCAAAGGAAATACACCATATGCATCCAGCATCCATATGCCATATATATTATATAAATTATATGTATAATTTAATATATATTAAAATAAATTGTAAAAAAGATCTAAACAATAGTAATCGTGTATAACAAGCACAACAAGTGCAAATTACGATCAAGCTTGTCCATCTTGTCCCATGTCTCCTGTGACGCAGCGGTATGTTTCTGGCTAACAAAACAAGCATCCCAAAACCAAGGGATCTGAGGATCGGTTCTGGTCAGTGCAGCTGCTCCGCTCTGCGCCCGTCCTTCAACTGTTGGGATTGTTCTTCGGCCTCCTTCACAGACATGGCCTTGTTCTTCATGTTGTCATCACCTGTTCTTGGCTGTAGGAGGTCAGGTGGTTCACAGGGAGACCTCCAAAATTCAGAGGTGAGATGAGGTAAGACAGGAAGGAAACAAGTTTGAACATGCTTGCGGCAACCACATCGCCCCAAGCTGGTCGAAGCATGTCCAAACTACCATGAACCCAGAAAGTTTGATCCCAAAGAAAGCCATGTCACAAAAGACAAACTAGGGCCAGGGATTGACTTGGGGTCCCTTCTCCAAAGCCGCTGAAGGGATGCTATTAGGTTGGAGGCCATCGCAAGTAGGTTGGAGGCCATTGCTTCTAGGTTGGAGGCCCTCGTCATTAGGTTGGAGGCCGTAGAAGCACTTCGGGACGTGAAACCTCCGTCTGCAGCCGGACGAAGTCGTCCAAACGCCGTCCAAACGAAGTCGTCCAATCGCGGCTTTTCCGTCGCGGGTGATCTTGCTGAGTCACACCAGCACTTGTACTTGTCATAGGTTTCCTCATCTGCTTTGCTGTCCGCTTCCAGCTGCTCCTGCTTGAAACCATGGAAGAGTAGGAAGAGAGACCGGAGGACGAGGACGGATCGGACTCCAAAATCTCCAAAGGGCTTTCGGCAAGGGACGCAAGTTGTGGATGCTTTCGGACTGTCGCGGGACTTGAAGAACGACCTGGTGTATAAATTGAAGAGTCTGCTGGGTTGGAAGGCCCTTCATTCTTGTGACAATACTACATGTGGCCCATCATGGGCATGTTTGGGGAAGGGTCAAACCTGGAGCCCCGACACGGGTTGTCACTTCAACCAATTTATCCTCGTTTTGACCCACAGCCATCTCATTCACGAACTCGTCAACCAGCCATGATCCGGGTGTGTGTGTGTGTGTGTGTGATGCGTCCAGCCCCTCGTGAGGGCCCACGAACGGCCCGGTTATCATCGGTGCACGACCTGTTCGCGGTCCTTCATCCCTTGCAGCAGCTTGACGACTTTGGTCGTCGGTCGCTTCGTGCCCTGGAAGGGCCATTGGGGGTCCACGCAGCCATGTGCAGCCCTTCTACGACCAAGTGACATGGTGATGTGTTCGCCTGGGAGCCTGCATGTTTTGGAAACCCATCACGGAAATCAAACAATATCAAACAATGTGACAATGATTTCATGCTACGATTCTTTAGACTCTTTACAACACAATCCTCCGTCCTTCGTCTCACCATCCCTCTTCTCGTCCAAGGATGAACTCTTCACACCGCCGCCATGCGACTCCCCGACAGTCCGCCCCGACCGTCCGCCAACGACGCAACGAGCCCCCGCACATCGGCGAGGTCAAAGTAGAGCTTGTTGCTCTGCGCCACCTGGGCGAGCAATGCCTCAGCGGAAAAAGCAGCGCGGAATTTCCGCGGCGCGTTTTCAGGGGCAAAGGGAGCATGGAGGGCGTTTCAGGTGTCCAATGGTGGTCAAAGGTTTTAGGGCGAGACCCATTTCGAGGGATTAATGAAGAGCCTTCCAAAAATAGGGACAAGAGGTCTTTCAGAATTCTTTCTGCTGCCCCAGCATTGGCCCAGCAAAGCGATCAAGTGTGGTTGAGTGAGTGTTTCATATGCCTGACAACAGAAGGCAAGGACCTGGGTGACATTCGGTGACTATAATTTCTGAGTTCTACAACTTTTTTTTGGAGTCCATGGCAGTTTGAGACCTAACCAAAGTCAAAGAAGATCTGTTCCAGTACCCAATGCACCGTTGGCGGGATCTCCGTGTTCTCCCACCACGACCCCAAACCGAAACACCCCAGCCACCGACTCGTGCAAGAAACTGCCAAAAGCAGCATCTGCATGGCTTCAATGGAAAGGGGGGAAGCGATTCTGAGTTCAAAGAAGGCGCACCTCGGAACCTTTTTGAGCCAGTCACGCGTCTGCCGGAGCGCTCAGCGGCTCAGCGACAATTCAGCATGAAAAGGAAGGTTGACCTGGTGTTGTTGTAGTCTCGAATCCTCAGTATAAAGCATTCGGTCAAACCCATACAAATCATTATAATTAAAATCAATGGTGGATGGAATCTCAGCAAACAACTCGTCTTGAAGGTGTTCATTGTGGTCATCTGAGAGTGAGCAGCATGTCATCATGCAAAGTGTCATGTTCTTTCGCGACACATCAGAACCGAAGCACGACTCCAATGGAGCGAAAACACCACGGATGGAGCGAAATGAACGTAGCAACAAAGAATTATCTCATAAAATGTTGTCTGCCAACTGCCAACCTGGCAATCGAAAATGACCTCCACTGGATAGACTTTTCCTTGCTGACCTTGCTTGATGTGCTTGTATCCCCCGTAGCACCTGGAGCTCCATAGCAACCTGCTTGTGGCAAAGCTCCTGCAATTGGGCATAAAAGCTTCATTGAACACACGTCTTTCCGACCGTGTAGCTAGGGAACTTTGGGCGATCCCGTGGACCCCTTGGAGACTCATCTTCCGGATACAAGCATCCCCGAGCCAGACCTGGGTCAATGGATCAAGCCCTAGGAACACTATATATATATA